CTTCTGGCGATGTCACTGCTGTCTGGACACGTGGAAAAAGAAATGTGATTCATTTGCTTCAAAAAATAAAATAAAGGCGACTCGCTTCCAGAGCCAACTGTACCAGGAAGCACTTTATAAAAACAGTCAAACAGTTCAAAACTCATACAAGGGGATAAAACAGACATTTTACACGGTGGAATCTGACTGATGAAAACTTTGGAGCTTCGTCCGGGACGAGTTTGTGGATGAATAACGTCGGGTGACGAGTCTGACTTGTTTTTTCACATTGGACTCCATCGGGAAGAAATCCCGTGCATACTGCCTGCTTAAATGTTCACTAGGTCAGAACTTATTCTACAAATGTGTTTCCATCTCTGCTTTTATGCATTAACTCTACTGCAGGATTGGGGCAAARTGGCCTTGGAGGAGGTTTGCACTCTCTGAATGCTTCTAGTTAGGAAATAAAATGATGACATCACCACAACAAACCTGCCAAGAGAGGGTATTCTGTGATCTGTCAGAACTTAGAGTACATGTAGTAAATGACTCTGAGCTACGACCACACCAAACTTTAATTTAAATTTCTGAAACTGACTGTGTTGTAGATATTTTAGGTGAAATGAGGTTGATTAGCTATGACAACTTTTCTGAAGTATCTTGAGTCCAAAAGTTACTTTCTGTAAGTRACATTTAATTTTGTCCAGTGTTTTTCTTTTTAGATATTTTGCTAAGTGACAAACTAATGAACACACAGATTGTTATGCACACATGCAGAAGTACGAGTTTACTGTTTTAGAACTTTACAACTCTGAAGACTTTTTCACATAAATCCAAATAAATAAAATTGTAATGCGCAGGTTTTAACAGAAAAGGAAAAAATAAAACAGGGCTTGAATATTTTTYCAACACACACCAGAGGCTGAATGAACCGTGCAGAACCAAACAGGACTTTAAACGGGTTTAATAAAGTCAGAAGAAGCCAGCTGGAGTCAAAAGGAACACGGAGGATCCGAACAACAAGGCTGTGCTGCCTTCACTGTCAGTCCGTTAAACTGAGCTCTGGCTGCTGGATTTAAACAACATCTGACACCGTTCAGTGAGAACACACAGTTCTGACTGTAGGAACAAATGTAGGCCAGGCTGCTGAGCAGAACCGGGCCTCCTCCGCTCCTGATCTGGAAATAAACAAGGACGGAGTTCGGATCTTAGTGGGTTGATTTTATTAATGTATTTTTTTAATATTAAAACTAAGTGTGATGCGCGGAATGACGACGAAAATGTCGAGACCGGTTGAAGATTTCGGCTCAACTTTAAGTGGAAAGCACGAAGAAAACACGCAGGAATTCCACTGACAGCCCCCCCCCTCCCCCCACCCTGCTCCGACTGGATCCAGTGTTCCGTAAGGCCGCAGGAGAAGCAGGAAATAACTCGGCTCTTTGTGGTGACACATCCAACCTTACCTTACGGTCCTCCCCTCCCCCTCCGCTCCTACATCTCCAGCAGACAGACACGGGGTCGCAACACAGTCCGGTCCGAACCTCCGCAGCAGAGAACCAGAACACGGCACGACACACCGAACCGGTGTGACAATATCTACAGACTCGGCCCAAACCTCCGAGCTTTTCAGCACCCGGGACAGAACAGAGTCTTCAGCACCATGGACAGAGGCTGGCGGCACTGCCCCCTACAGTCGCCCAGCGGAACTGCAGTTGGAGCGCTATGGAAAGCCTGAAGAGCCAAAATCAAACACTTTTTAGCGCCCTCTGGCTTCTGTGTGACGCAGTGAAACACGATCTGGATGTTCAACCTCAAGTTTTCAGTACATTTGAACTCCTCTCATCCAGTGAAATAGTGGTTCTCAAACTATTTGCTTGTGACCCCAACTATTCTCGATAATATATTATGTACAGTACTAATAATAAGCATTTGTGACCCCTCACATCGAAATGAGGATTAAGTCTAATTTGGTCAAAATGACTTCATCGTATTTTCAGAATCCTGGCTTTAAAAGCTACATTTTGATACTTAAATCATCTTGATAAGATATCATTAGTAGATCCAGAGATATTATTTAGTTTGTCTTGTTGGTTACAATAAATAAGA